TTGTCAGCAGCTCACAGCAACTCCCCGCAGGCTCTTCCCACACCCACCCCAATGCCACCTCTTTACTTCATCCGCAGGAAGGCATCCCAGGGCCAAGAGTGGTCTTTTATTCAGAAGGCTGAATTTCCTCCAATTTATCCTATTAATAAGAAGTAAAAGTAAATTTACAAACCACACGAGAGGCGACGGTTGGACACACACAAGAAAGGCCCCAGCCACGAAGTCATCCCCTGTTGCTGAGACTGCAGAGAAACTGAGGTCAGCCAGGCAGTGGTGTGGCTGGTCCCCAGGCGCAGGGCTGGTGGGGGGGCACTGAGGGAGAAACCCGAACCCACCCAGGGGATCTGCCACCGGAACCAGGAAAGGAAGGTGAGGAGTGTGACTTGGCTGTCACGTGCCTGCATGGCGCCAGAAGCTTTCCCACTTGAAGAATCTTGCTAAATTCTCCCAATGACTGCTGGGAAAGCATTGTTATTCCCATTGCATGGGTGACTGTGGAACCAGGATGGAAATCCAGCTGGTTCCACCCACCACGCTATAGGCAATTTGAAAATAGCGTCAACCCAGCGCAAGGGTAGAAAAATGATCTGTGACACTATTTCCTGCCCTGGAACCCCTCGGGAAATAACCTAACGGAGCGTTCCTGGGTGGAAAGTCTGGGGAGAGTGGGCAGGGTTTGCTTTCCCACTAGAAACCCCCCAAAGCTTCGGGGTGGGCCGACCTGCAGGGTGTTGTGAGAGAGTCTGGGATGGAGCTTGGGATGCAAGAGGCAGGTCAATGAAGAACCCACATTTAAATGAGAAATGAATGATGAGGAGGGAGCAGGCTCTAAGGATCTGGGGAAAGTATTCCACGCAGAGGGACACAAAGGGGCAGAAATTAGGTTGGAGAAGTGGACAGATGGCCAATACCAGCAAAAGCCATGCGTATTTCACCGTGAGCGCAACAGAAGCCACCGAGGCAGGCGGATGCCTGAGCTAATCACTGTGTTGAGAGGTCTTTGGCTGCTGTGGGGAGAAGGGGTTGCAGGGGGTGAGCGCGAGGCGGGGGCCACTCAGAACAGGGCCACACTGGGAATGTCTGCAGGTGGGTGCAGGGCCCAGGCAGGGTTCCAGGCAGGACTGGCATTCTAGGTCGGGACTGCCATGCCCGGAAAGGGAACACACTGAGGCTAGAAGAGCCCAGGCCCAGCAGGCAAGGTTGCCATGGTTACTGGATGGTTCCCAGGAAACAGAGAGAAGGCAGATGCCCAGTGAGGACTGCATCATGCAGCTTCCACTAGGGCAGCAGGAGAGACATAATGCTGAGACACAGAGAGCATGGTGACTCCCTCGGGCCCCAGGTCGGGGCTGGGTCTGGGAGCCCAGGCAGAGCCGTGACAGAGGTGGCCTGGGAGGTGGGTGGCCCTCTTGAGCCCAGCTGTGGAGAGCGGAGGCAGTGGAGGCTGGGGCCCCACTGGACTTCGTGCCCTCCACAGGCCAGAATGAAGGCAGGCCAGTGAGCCAGCACGGGGGACACAGCGGTGCTGACACTGGGCTGGCTGGGTGGCGAGAAACCCCAGGGAGAATAAGCAACTCCCCGGGTGTTCAGGCTCGGATCGTGGACAGGAGAGCAGGACAGAGGTGCGGCACAATGCCTGGCTCCACAGAAAAACCAAGTTAACACTGGCAGAAACCGTCAATCAGGGCAGAACCGACAGATCCAAACGGGGAAGGCTCCTGGGCCACGACAACAGTGTGAACACGGCCACACCCAGCTCCAGCCCCAGAAACCAGGCTAACCGAGTCCAGGAGGGGCCTGCCAGTCTGTGAGTTCTTGTGGTGGCCCAGGGGAGTACAGTGGGGGGACTGCACAGGTCACAGTGATGCTGGAGGGGCTTGGCTTAAATCTTGCAGGAACACAATATTATAACATGCCTTCCCAGAGTCTCAACATAATAACCCAAATTCCCACTGGACAGCACACTTTGTCAGAAATGCGATAAGACAGCAAACTTGATGGTAGATGAGAAAACTACCCAGCTAACGGTCTCCATCCTCCGCAATGGGGTAGAACATCAGAAGGTTCTCACCGAAGTGTAAGGTGAGAGCGAAAGAGAAATGCTACATGCTGAGGGGAGCGATGCGTCCCCAGCGGTGACCCCACCTTCTCCCCTTCTGCTGTTTCACAGTGTGCCTCTGAGTTTTCACCTGGGCTTATTTCTATGAGTTCCAGAATCAGTAAACCCCCGGGGCTCCGTAAACTACAAAGCCCCATGTCACCAGTGTTTACTCCCACCGTCACCAGGCACAGCTCGAAGGCTGCAGACTTTGTCCTGCCTGCCCATAGTGCCATGGCGAGTGTCACCTGAGCCCTAGGGACGGCGAGGTCAGGACTGCTGGGAGCTGGGAAATGTTCCCAGAAAAGGCAGGAAGGGGACAAAGAGGACAAGCAGAACTAGGGACACAGGACAGGAGGACACACTGTCATTTCAGGCTGACCAGGACTGAGCCAAGTCGAGCTCAGGGAGCCCGAGGGGCTGGCACACAGCTCAACCAGGGTACAGCAGACGCTTCCTCCAGGACAAATAGCAGGGAGGGACCAGGAAGGGGGATGCCTGTGCAGGAAAGGAAGAAAAAAGATCCAGGCTACGGAGCCTGTCCCCGCGCACTCCTACCCTGAGCCAGCACACCACAGCAGCTCTGCACTGAGCCTCTCCCCAGCACTCCAGCTGGCTGTGTCCCTGAGTTCCACCGACCCCCGGACTCAAGCACCCGAACACAACCCAGTCCACCACGTTAGCACTTAGTAATGGGTAAGCGCATGAGTGAGTGAATGGGCAAACTGATGAACATGTGCACAGATCGTTCGTTTCATTGGAGTCCCAAGTTTGGCAGTGAATGAAATGGAAAAAATCAGTCAAAGTCACAGGATGCAGCAGCTGGGTGACCCTGGATGTATGGCATCACTTTGTGAAGGTGAAGGAGCCTCACCTGCCTCACCTGATATGGAGTCACAGGGGCTTGTTCTGCCGCTCCACAGAGATACAGGAGCAGAAGGGGCAGGGCAGGCCCCTGGCAAACGTAAAGGTCACAGACAAAGTGCAGGGCTGTTGCGACATCTCATCACGACCCCAGGACATGAGCAGGCACTGCTATCCCGGAGCCTCCAGCAATAAGTTCTTTGGGCTCCCGGGCAGGGCCAGTCCTCCAGGGCTCCCAGCCGGGTACCCAGACAGTTCCAAAAGGCAGATCTGAAGCCAAGGGCCGGGATCCCAGTGACTCTGACCTGGGACACGCACACTCCCAGCGTGTTTCCCCCTCCTTTCCATTCTATATAAATCAGAAAATTAATTACCCAGGAAAGATTCTTCTGCACCAGAAACCCAATGAGTTTAATGTATCGTTTATACACAAAAATATAGATGTCAATGCGTGACAAATCTGCATACAAGTGTTTTTGCAGTTAAATTTTTAGGCACCTGTCTTCCTCCCAGAAGAGTCACCATACAGACAAAAAGAAGCCCCAGGGCACAGGCCAGGTGGGGCTGGCAAGGCAGCTTGTCACTTTACCAGATAGCTGTGCAGCTGCCAGCACAGCACAGCCAGGAAGGCACCAGCCACCTGCAGCCAAGTCTCAGCTGTGCCACACTGCCCCCCTCGGGGTCCTGTTGTGTCTTGTTGGAAATGAGGATTTAGTGTCCCGTGTCAGCTCTGTGCGAGGCCCGGGGAGGAAGGCAGAATGGACACGGTCTGATGCTCCAGAGGCTTTGAGTCCACTGGGAGAACCAGGGGAGCAGACGAGGAATGACAATGACAGGATGGCAAGTACAACAGCAGGTGAGGCCTTACATGCCAGGCAGCTGCAAAAGAACAAGGACTCCACTATGCCAGGAGCATCCCGGAAAGACTCCAGGGCACAGGGCTACCTGACGGAGTTTTTCAGGTGGATGAAGGCAGGAGGACATAGTAGAACTACACTCACAAAGACCAGAGATAAGAACAAGCATGTCCAGATTGGCGTGAGCGTGGCCTGTGGCACACGGTGGGGACCAGCCAGCACTGAGCCTTGCATGGAATCACCAGTGGGCCTGGATGCTCAGCCCTGAAACAAGACTTTGTCCTGGACTGAAAACTTCAAACAGATCAAAGCTGCGCTCTGGGAACAGTGTGGAGCCCAAGAGGAGGGTTGCGTGGGAAGCAAACGAGAGAGAAGGCAGGTGAGCTTTGCAAAGTGCACAGCACGTGCAGCATCCACAGAAACTACCAGCCCAGCGGGACTGCACCAAGCCAAGCCGCAGCAGCCTACCTGCTTCCAGCCCAGAGTTTCTGAACACGCTCCTTCACCCACAGGTGTACCCATCCACAGGCTTGACTGGCATATACTTTGCACATAAACCACCCTAAATGTAGGTTGGGCCCTTGCTTTGTCTGCAGTTGCTACTACCATTCGGGGCTGGTCACTCATTGTGCAAGACATTCCCTGCCACGCTCTCCAGATGCCCAGTGGGGCTCCAGGCACAACCCAAAGTATCCTCTCACACGAGGATCTGGAGGGAGAGGCACCGTGCATAATGCAGGCCCAGCGGAGCACTGCTGTGCCACCCATGCAAGGGAGAGGGGAGCTGCGTGTCTTCACTGCACCCTGGCCCAGAGCCACCAGTGAGGGTCACAAATACGCCCTCGCTCACCGTGCCATTGCCGACCACATCTGCACACAATCTGAGGTCCCACTGGCATCTTCCCAGATTTGGCGCCTTCCACAATAAGACAAAGCAAGCCCTCATTCCCTCTCCCCAGCAGGGCCCCCGGACAATCCCTGCAGCATCCTTGAAGTGCCAAAGTCCTGGTCAAGAGACAGAAGCCAGGCTCGTGGGCCTAGATGCCCACAGGACATCTAGTCGAAACAAGGGTTTCGAGCCCCGAGCCCTCGGCACACCAGTGCCTGTCTTGAAGAAGAGCTCTGCCTGGCCTCGCTAAGTTTCTACCTCCTGGCGGACTGGCGGCCAAGCCCTCAGGGACTCCCAGCCACATACCTCGCTTGGCCTTTGGGGGCCTGAGTCCCTCCTCCGGGGCCAGGGCCTCCCAAGCCTCCCGCTCCCTCCAGCGCCTCAGCTGCTCCTCCCGCATCTTGTAGAAGAGGATGTGCTTCTGCACATCGCTGAGCTCGGCGAGGAGCTCGGGGTCGATGTACATGTCACGCAGGATCTGCTGCAGCATGATGCCGCCGGGGACGCACACACCGGAAGGGCAGCCAGCCAGGGGAGCAGGGCCAGGCGGGGTGCCCCAGGCTGCTCTTCACCCCCTCACTCCGGAGCCACTCCTGGTGCCCCTTCTCCGTGCAGCATCGTCAGTCCGCCCTGGCTCCCAGCCAGCAACAGCCTCATCCCTGCCGGTGACAGTGAAAGAGGCCACGCAGCAGGCACCAAAGAGGCAGCCGGGACCCTGCAAGGGGCAGCAGCCACCAGGAGCAATCTAGTCCTTCTGTTGGGTCACCATGCACCGCATCTCAGCAGCGCCTGTGTCTCGGCCTCTCCTGGGGTTCTGGGACAATAGCCCAAGCCTCCAGCACAGCCGAGCAATGGCCAGGCCCAGCCCTGCCCGAGCTGGCAGGTGTCAAGTGATCTGTTAGTGGAAGGTAACGATGACACCAGCTGTATCGATGACACTGCCCTGGCCAGCCAGGAACTGATCTCTCCACCGCAGATAAGAGGAGGAGGAGGAGGCAGCTTTGCCTACTAATTCCATGTCTTTTGAGCCAATTTCAAACAGAGGCCAGAGGAGCCAGCCAGGAGCTGCTGGGCCCCTCAGCCCTCCCTCTGCCTGCTCCTTCATTGCCCACCTTCCTTTCCAGAACGCTTGGCATCCTGAGGCCATGCTTTTAAAACTCTGCCTTGGGGAAGGAGAGATCTTTTCTCCTAACTGTATTTGACCAAAGAAGAAAACAAAATGGAATCAGTAGAGACAGCTGGAGTAGGTTTCATTATGGAATTCAAGGACGTGAGGGAAGATGAATCCTTCCCCCTCTCCCCGTAATGAGGTCCTACAGCTATGCGTGCGCATAAACCCCGCAGGGGCCAGTCTTAAGGGCTGTTGTTAATCTGGCTGTTTGTTACAGGTGTCTGGAATTGATCAAAAAGAAAGAAGATGAAACTGGATCTTCTCTGTGTCCTGACCAGAAGCACCCTGGACAGGGCGGGACGTGCCTCCTACTGGGAGGGCATGCAGGTGGGTAAGAGATGCTGTTGCTGAGATCTTTAGGATGAAAAATCACCCTAAACGTGTGCTCAGAGCTACTCACAGCTGCCCTCTCATTCAGACAAGGATACTGGGGTTCAGAGAAGGTAAGTAAGTGACTTGCCTATGGCTACCCAATCTGTAAGTTGCCACATTGGGACTCTACCCAGTTTTCAAATTTGTCATCCACTGGAAACTAAGAATCTGTTGATGGTTTGAAAATGTAACCTGACCGGGGGAAACAAACGAACAAGTAGGATTTGGCACTGTGGCTTGGTTGGAGCGTGACCTTCCTGTCCCCTTCCCTCCCCATGAGCGCAGAGGGTGGATCAGGCACCCCAGAGTGATGGGAGGGGCGTGAGTGAGCCTTCCTCCCTTTGGCGAGGTTCACACACAGCAGGAAGAAGGACTAAGCGGGGTCAGAGGAGGTTTAAGCCCACAGGGTCGAAAAGGAGTGTAGAGTGTCGCGCAACGCTCACCCAGGTCAAGCGGGCTGGCCCCAGCGTGACCCAGACCTTGCAGGAGCCTCCACACGGACGATCCTGCCCGCAGCAGGGCTGCGGCCCTGGACTCCCACCGCCCTCTTCTCTCTTCTCCCACCTCGGGCCTTTCGCCGACTCCCCCACCCGGAGTCCTGGCTCCCCTCAGTTCCTGACTGGGAGCCCCCTCCCGCCTCCGACCCAGTTATCTTCCCGGCTGGGCGGGAGCCCGGAGGCCAGAGAGGAGACAGGGGTGCTAGCAAGGCCCCCGCGGGGGTCAGGGCTCCTGCAGACGGCTCCATTCAGCCTTTCCCGAACGCCCAGAGCCTACGACAAGCAGGGGCCGAGGGCAGAGAGAACGCGGGGCGGACGTGCGCCGGCAGGCCCGGGCGTGAGGTCCACGCCTCTGGCAGAGTGGCGGTGTCGTCCTTGCGGGCACCCTGGAGGTGAAGGATGGGTGGTGGCCGGATGCGAACCACGCCCGCTAGCGCTCGTTTCCTGCGACAACCGGGATCTAGCTGGGGAAGCGTGCTCCCTGGCAGTCCCGGGTCAGTGGGGCAGGAGGCCAAGAGACACCGAATCCGGAGGACGTGACCGAGCCGCGGGTGGCAGCCGGGGCGCGGGCTGGGTCGCGTTTCCGGGACGACGCGCTCCGGTGGGCGCGGGTGCGGGCTCTCGGCCCCTGCGGGCGCCACCTCCCGCCCGGCGTGGGCCCGACGGTCGGCTGTGCTGGTGGGGCGGGGGCTGCTCGGCCCGGCCTGGGGCGCCCCCTGGGGGCGCACGGGGCGCTGCTCGGCTCCGCGCGGACCCAGAGACTGCGCGTGGGGGGCCCGGACCTGACTGGGGAAGGGTCCTGGAGCCGGGATCTGGGGGCTGGAGGACCCAGGAGCAGGGGCTGCCGCTGCAGACGAGGCAAGGGAGCCCCGGAGTACTCAGACAAGGTTCTCTACCGTCTTCAACTGGTTGTATTTTGAGTTTATTTTTCACTGGCTGATGTGGCGTGTTTAATTTGCACGCTAACGCAGATCCTTCCGGGGCCGGGAGGTGCACGCACGCGATGCTGTTGTGCAAGTGGCTGGAAACCACCCGAATGTCGCTCAGTGCGGGTGGGGGTCGCCCAGTATGGAACTCTACTACTGTCGCAAACAATGAGGTCAGCTGTTTTGGCGAAGGGAATTGGCCACAGCTGATAAAACAAAAAGGTGACATGTAGAACATTCTGCACAGTGTAATCCATTTTTTAAATTCTATATGTTTGATTACTTTTGTGTAGATAAAGGAAAAAATATGGAAGATCACACACCTAATTGTTAAGCTTTCTTTTTTTTTTTTTTAAGCTTTGCTTCTTGATTTCTTCTCCGAATGGAGAGGAAGGCCACTTTAGACAATTCTGTGTTATTTTAAACAATAAGTAAGATGTATTTACATAATTCATATGACTGAAGTAAAGTGTATTTCAAAAGTCCTAAAATGTGATCCAAAAAAAACTGATCTCTGGAGGTCAGCGCCTATGGGGCAGAGTCCCACCCCCAGAGAGGGACCTGCAGGCAAAACTAGACCTCCCTATGCCAGGAAGAGGTGATGGAGAAACCAACCATCCATGTCCCTGGGGTTCCTAAGCTGGAGAAGGGCTTTGAAGCATTTCTTGGCGACAGCCGGGCACAGGTGTGGAGAGGGGACAGGGAGAGCAGGAGACAAGGGGAATGGCCAGCGACTCCGGCCAAAGTCCAGGAGAAGGTGATTACTATACAGCGTTTTCAGCGGGAGCCAAGGAGGCTAGAACTGGGGATCCCAGAGACTCTGATCGGGTACTTTGCTTCCACCGAAAATCATTCTAAAACTGAAATTAGATCACGTCATTCCTCTGCTTAAAACCCATTTTACTCAAAGCTCAAGCCCCTGCAGTTCACCCCATGCCCTCAGACAGCACCTCCCACCACTCTCCCCTGCGGCACTGGCTCCAGGCCTCAGCCTGGGTCTGCTGCCTGCTGTTCCGCAAACATCCAGACAGGCACCCTCCTAGTGGCCTCATGCTGGCTGTGCACTCTGCCTAGAACCATCACCTCCTTTATGTCTTTGCTCAAACTTTTAACTCCTTTACACTTCTGATCCCCCTCGTTCTGCTCCATTTTTTCCCTTAGCACTTACTTTGTAAAATGCCATTTTACTTATTATGTGTCTCTCTCCCTCCTAGATAATAAACACTCCAAGGGCAAGTGCTTTCATGCAGTTGGTTCACTGACGTCCCAAGTGCCTAGAACACTGCCTGGCACACAGCAGTGCTTGACAAATGTCTATTGAAAATAAAAATGAAGCAGGAACTTTCGAGGTGGAATTGACCAGAACCTGTGCAGATGATGGGGGAGTGTCCAGAACAGGGCTCTGCAGAGTGGTTGCTGGACGCCTGGGCCTGGCAGTCATGGACAGACGGGTAAATCTGAGGCATTAGGTGGACTGATGGCCCTGCCATAGGCCACCTACCCTGGCTGCCCCCTCATGCCCTGACCACATGCCCTCCAACAGGCAGGGTCAGTGATGGCCAGAGCCTAAGGTGAGGAACCTGGGCCAGAACATCACTGTGGGCCTTTCCTGAGTCCTCCCAGCCCTAGAATCCTTCCTGTTGGATGTAGGCTCCGTTAGAGACATGCAGGGCCCAGCTCCACTTCCTTTGCCTCATTCTAGGAAGCCAGTAGGACAGTTTCCTTTGTTGTTGCTGTTGTTGAGACAGAGTATGCCCTGTCGCCCTGGGTAGAGTACAGTGGCATCATCATAGCTCACAGCAACCTCAAACTCCTGGGCTCAAGGGATCCTCCTGCCTCAGCCTCCTGAGTAGCTGGGACTACAGGCGCGCACCATGACGCATGGCAAATAGTTTCTATTTTTAGTAGAGATGGGGTCTTGCTCTTGCTCAGGCTGGTCTCAAACTCCTGAACTCAAGCAATCCTCCCACCTCGGCCTCCCAGAGTGCTAGGATTACAGGCCTGAGCTACCGTGCCTGGCCAGATGGGACAGTTTCTAGTGAGGTGAGTCCTTGGTGTCTGCACCCAGTGAGTGGAGTAGGAAGCTCTGGGTCTGCAGGGTAGAGGGAAGTGAGCCGGCTGCCACCTCTCCACCACCTCGGATGCAGACAGATGGCCAACACTTACCTGCACCCCTGCCCCATAAAGCTCTCCTGGAGCCCAAGCCCTGCTCCTTAGAAAACACTTTACTCCACGCCACTTCCCCTGGAATGAGGCCATTCAGCACAGGTGTAAGAGATTGACTAAGTCTCAACCTAGGACTGATTCTTATCAATTCAAAGAGCAGGAGGGAACTCTGGGGCCCCAGAGGGCAAACAGGCTTACACTATGGACAGCTCCCATAAGGCCAAGGCCCTCAAGAGTTCCCAGTACCCACTAAAGACTGCACAGCCATCAGCCCTGCCTGCTGCGCCTCTCGCTGCTGAGTCCCACACTAACCACAGGCCCCGACCCACCAAGCCTGAGACTACCCTGACCTCTAGCA